TTGAGGTGCTGGAGCGTGTCCAGAGAAGGGCAACGAGGCTGGTGAGGGGTCTGGAGAACAAGTCTGATGAGGAGCGGCTGAGGGAACTGGGGCTGTTTAGCCTGGAGAAGAGGAGGCTCAGGGGAGACCTTATCATGCTCCCCAACTACCTGAAAGGAGGTTGTAGGGAGGTGGGTGTCGGTCTCTTCTCCCAAGTAACTAGCGATAAGGTGAAAGGAACTGGCCTCAAGTTGCGCCAGGGGAGGTTTCGATTGGACATGAGGAAAAATTTCTTTACTGAAAGAGTGGTTAAACATTGGAACAGGCTGCCCAGGGAAGTGGTTGAGTCACCATCCCTGGAGGTATTTAAAAGACGTGTAGATGAGGCGCTTAAGGACATGGTTTAGTGGGCATGGTGGTGTTGGGTTGATGGTTGGACTCGATTATCTTAGAGGTCTTTTCCAACCTTAATGTCTATGATTCTATGATTCTATGACAATAAAGTCCACATAAATCCATGAAATGAAAATTTCAAAGTTCGATGTTTATTTTTGTTCTTTAAACATGTCCTCTCAATCAGTTGCTATGCATTCAATCAGTTTCTAGGCATTCTTCAACACCTGTAGAAAGTAAAACACTTCCTGTGTTAAGACTGTCCAATGTGAATTGCTTTACTCATACCTGCAGTACAGTTAATTTTTGTATGCAACAGCTGTGTGCAGGCTACAGTGAAATTTCACCAGGGGTGAAAGAAATATATTGCATCTAGTTGGCATTGCAGGTGGACTTAACAGAATGTGTTTTGCTTAGGCGTTGGCTGAGAGTGGGATGCAAAGCTCTCTTGACATAATCGAGTATTTTTTGTACAAACTCTAGCATGCTAGAGACCATGAGTAGTCAGATCCTGTGTCACATAACCCATGACAAATTCTGCTGTGTTATTCTTTAATGCAATATTGATATTCTGTACCAAATCAGAGGGAAGGGCACGTAATCGTCAGCATTGTATCTGGCAAACCACTGGCTTCCTTGAAGGTCATTCTTTCTATTAGAGTCTATCTTGTGTGATACTGGGAGGTTTGAAAAGATCACCAGATCACAGCCAAAACTTGACTGATTGCCACTAGGCTAATAGTTCTATTAGAGATGTTTCAACATGGAAAATAAAAATACAATACAAAGAATTTTTAAACTTTTTACAATTTTTATGTTTGATTATTCTTGTGCAGGGAGAATTTAAAGTGTCTGAGCGATATATCACCATGAGTGACCTGACAGCTGCCTTGGAAGAGAACAGAGTAAAGGAGATGTTTGGTGCTGGAACAGCTTGTATCGTATGTCCTATCTCTAAAATTTTATATAAGGGCAAGGTAAGAAAATGTCTCTTTTTCTGCCCCCCCCCCCTTCCTTCTTCAGAACTGTGTCATAATTAATTGCAGCTGCAGCAAAAAACAAGTGAGATAGAAAAGGAGTGCTGTCAGAGGCTCCTGGAAAAGATGAACAGTGTCAGTATGTTGTTTCCCAAGTGAGTTACTTCTATGTTGTCAGAAGAGAACTTTCCCTCTTGTCTTCTGGGGTTTTTTAATAGTTAAAATCATAAAATCTCAATTCCTGGGAAAAGGAGAAAAAAAATAGTTCCCAGCTCCCAGCCTGTTTGAAAAATATAGAAAAATACATTCTCCCACATTTCTTTTATTGGACATTTTTTCCAAAGTTAAGGGACTTGGGAAAGGTGAGGAGAGGAAAGACTTCTGCAGGGAACCAAATTTCTGAGCCACTGCATTCTTTCCTTCTCAAGTTCATCTCTTCTTCACCCCTTATTGCAGGGAACCCAGCTCTGATGGAAGAGCTGTTTCAGGAGGGTGCATGGCTGCTTCCACCTGCTATACACCATATGAGAAATCTCTCCTGCACGGGTGGAATTCCACAGGCATTCAGGCTGTTAAGCTGACTTGATGCTGTTTAGCCCGCACGAAGTTAGTTCAGAAGGCTGTGTTACTGCAGCTGCATATATGGATGTGCTTTGTTCCATTAAATATGACAAGTACAGTAAATGTCTGTCAGGTGATACTTCTTGAATTATTTAGATGGAATAAATGTATTGATATTATCAGATGCTAAGATCATATGAGAGACATCAAGGTGCTGAGTGCTGATAAGTACTATAAATGTACCTGTTGTGTTTCTACATGATATACTTTGAAATTAAATACTGTATATAGTGTTATTACTCTTGCCTGTACAATATACCCTCCGTTTTGGACAGATCTTTTGGAAGGCTTAGATTAGCCTTTGTTTAAAAACAGCATAACAGTTCAACTAAGCTAACTTTTCACTGGCTCAGCATGCCCTACTAGAAAAAACAGTACAACAATCCTTGCCTACCTGTAAGGAGGGCTAGAAAGCTTGATAAATATTTATTAAAAATCTTGGTGACCCTAAGGTACTCTCATATATATATATAAAGCTATTATTATATGTTATTCTCTCTCTCCCCCCCTTCCCCCCCTTCTTTATTCAATGTCAGCATTTGCACATACCAACTATGGAGAATGGTCCTCAGTTAACAACCCGTTTCCTGAACAAGCTGAGTGATATCCAGGTAAGGTGCTTCCTCTTCTTTAACCAGATAAAATAATAAAAGGTGAACATTTGAAAACATCAGAAAATAATCTTTTTAATAGTGGTGCTATATGCACCATTATATAATAATATAGGCTCTTTTGATTTTTTTTTTTTTCACCCTTGAGAAAGTATGATATGGATGGAGAGTGATATATTTTTTCCCCTGTTCATCTTGGAAGCTGCATGAGAGTTGTAACATATTACTGTTATCAGTGAAATCCAGTACTGTTGTTACAGGTTCCTTTTTAAGGGAAAAAATAGCATTATGAAGCATCTTAATAACCACGATCACAAATGAATATAGGCTAAGAGATAGGTGAAGTAGTAAGCACTCACTGGGTGCAGCCAAGTGATCACCATTTCTGTTTCTCAGTGTCTTTCCAATCATACGGTCACTTCTTGTTCTTAAAACAGTTCCTTCCTCTGTGATTTGCTAAATATCAAAGTCTATTTGGAATCTGTGCTTGACCTCCATGTCTGGGTGTAGGAGTCAATACCATTTCAGGTAAAGTCAATGAGCAGCACGTGATAGCCCTTCTTATTTTAGTTGCCTGTTTTCTTTTCCTTCTTTAGCATAGTTTATGGTGTGGGGGATTTGGGGATAGGAATAGGTCTTGGCAAGTTACAAGCCCCTTTATTTAAGATCTGATAGCAGCTGCTTGGCAGTATTGTCATGATTTCTTCAAATCAAGTCTGATGGTTACTGTTCTACATTCTTAGCTTTGGGCTCAAGATGATCTTAGATTTGCTACTAAAATTTTTATCTTCCTGCCAGTAAGCCCTGAACTAAGAATCTTCTTGAAAGATTGAGGGATGTATTACACCATATAGCAACTCTATGAATCCCATAAAATAATCAGAACTTTTTAAGAGTCCTAAAATTGATTTTTCTTTCTATTTTATAGGCCCTTTACTAGTGTGTAGAAATAATCTGACACAGGGTTCTGATGAGACCCCAAACAAGAACTACACATGAATTGCAGTCTGCTGTCATATGTTGACCCACCTAAAATCCCATGATGAACAGGTTCATTTATGTAACGTTATTATTCAGTGTTTTATGCTATATTGCAGTCCAAGTTTAAATCCATTGCTATTCATTGTGGAGTTTTTTTTCATTGCTTAATTCAAGTAGGGTGAAACAGTCTTAGGCAAGGGGAAGTCAGGCCATCTCATATCATTTCAGTGGTTCTTCTGTACTCTTGTTTCTCTACATATTTTTACCTTTTACAGCTGCTGGTCTCCAGCATAACTACTTTTTTTTTTTTCCCCCCTTCCCCCCCCCCGCCCCCCCAAGGCTTGTAGTTCAAATGATGCAGCAAGACCACTTGACTGTTCTTCACTAGGAGGATGACATGGGATCAGCATCTCTTGTTCTTTAGAATAGTATCGGACATTTCTGGCTGCAACTCAGGGAGGAAAGAATTCCTGATATTCTGGTACCTTTGTGTTGGTGGCTAAGCCAACTTTCATGGGCGCAAAAAGAGACACTCCCCCATCATGTTTCTGTTGTTTCAGCTGTGCCAACTATAATGGCTTGGAATCTGGGTCTTTCTCTTCAAACAGTAGGACTGATAGCTAGGAGGAAGCATAGGCACCTTTGGTTCTAGATTTTATTATTTGTTGAGGGGAAGGAGAGGCTTAGTATTCCATGTTCCCAGCTCAGTTACATGTAACATTTTTATCATCTTACTATATGAGAATACACAGAATCCCACTACATACCACAGTTTTATTTCATCTTTCTCATCCCAAGTGCCTGATACTCCTATCTAAAATAACAGTTGGTGTCCATCACTATTTTTTTTGTTGTCATATGTCCAGATTTATTATACATTTTTCATTGTGATACATACTGATCACTGTTTCCACAGCTCTCTGCTCTGTATTAAAGCCATCTTGTTAGTATGTCAAGTATCTGTCTTTAACGTCTAAAAGCACTTGTGTAACTCCTGTGTTACCTTCTGATGTCTAGGCGATGCTTTTGCAATATATGTTATGGCCTTCAACAATTTGTGATCAGTTTGAGTCTCCACTGATCACTTCTAATTGCAGTCACAGAACAGCTCAGCATCAGAAAGAGTTGAGGCCAGTTCTAGCACCTTGTTGAGTGTTATGTGTGGGAACAGGTACTGCCTTAGCAGTTTGTGTCATGAGACAAGCAAGTGCCTTCTCTAGAAGAATGGCTTGTGAAATCCAGAATTCTGTTTCAGAAGACAACACTGGAATATGTGTCTTTCTCACTTGGCCAATAGATAGTGAGTGGATTATTAAGACAAATTTATCCAGCCTGTTCCCTGAGCCTTCCTCCCATGCCTTCCTCAATCACCCTGCTTTTCCACTTACAAACAAGGCTCAGGAGGAGGCTGAAAAAGTGTGGATTGCTTCTAACCATTATCTTTCTTGGACCTTTTCACTTTACAACTATGCATATGGACCTTTTCGCCTTTCAACTATGTACATGCCCTGTGTTCTTTAGTTACGTGCCAAGAGTAAATCCATCACTCCTGGAAAGCGCTGGACGATTATGTGTGTGTTCACTTCCGGGTTTTCTTCCTTCTTTAAAAAATCCAGGAGAGTTAGAACACTTTATTGTTAGAAACATAGAATCATAGAATCATAAAGGTTGGAAGAGACCTCCAAGATCATCGAGTCCAACCGTCAACCCAACACCACCATGCCCACTAAACCATGTCCCTAAGCGCCTCATCTACCCGTTTTTTAAATACTTCCAGGGATGGTGACTCAACCACTTCCCTGGGCAGCCTGTTCCAATGTTTAACCACTCTTTCAGTAAAGACATTTTTCCTTACATCCAATCTAAACCTCCCCTGGCGCAACTTGAGGCCATTTCCTCTCGTCCTTTCGCCAGTTACTTGGGAGAAGAGACCAACACCCACCTCGCTACCACCTCCTTTCAGGTAGTTGTAGAGAGCAATGAGGTCTCCCCTCAGCCTCCTTTTCTCCAGGCTAAACAACCCCAGCTCCCTCAGCCCCTCCTCATCAGACTTGTTCTCCAGACCCCTCACCAGCCTCGTTGCCCTTCTCTGGACACGTTCCAACATCTCAACATCCTTCTTGTAGTGAGGGGCCCAAAACTGAACACAGGATTCGAGGTGCGGCCGCACCAGTGCTGAGTACAGGGGCACAATCACTTCCCTGCTCCTGCTGGCCACACTATTTCTGATACAGGCCAGGATTGCATTGGCCTTCTTAGCCGCCTGGGCACACTGCCGGCTCATGTTCAGCCGGCTGTCGACCAACACCCCCAGGTCCTTTTCCGCCAGGCAGCTTTCCAGCCACTCTTCCCCAAGCCTGTAGCGCTGCATGGGGTTGTTGTGGCCGAAGTGCAGGACCCGGCACTTGGCCTTGTTGAATCTCATACAGTTGGCCTTGGCCCATCGATCCAGCCTGTCCAGGCTGGATTTAAAGAGAATGATGGCTGCTTTTATGCAGCTCTTTACATGATTTTAAAGAGAATGATGGCTGCTTCCCCTTTAAGAATCAAATCAGTGGTTGCTGATTGTGTTTCTGCATTTTTCTATCTTGGAGAGATGAGCCCATATCCAAATGGACCCCAGGTTGTCATACAGAAAACAATGCTGCAACACACAAAATGGAATATATAATATTCTTAAAATGTCAGGGGAGTTTTCAGGTTCTTTCACAAAGATCTTGTATATAGTCTACTGGGGGGGGGCGCAGGGAGATCTCTTTGCAGTATCATTGGACTATTGTCATATCATTTGGACAGTCTAAGGCTGTTATTCCAAAAAATGTCCAAATTCTGAAGAATAAAATGCAATGGAATTTACAGCCAAACACAGCTTTGGTCTCTGTGCTGTTGCCTGAACTAGGGCAATGTATCCATTTCATGTTGGACAACAGACATTTGGAAAAAAGTAAAAATTCTCAGTACCAACATTGTCCTGCATTTGAACGTGTGACCAAGAGGTGCAGGGCTCCATATCCAATATCATTATACTGATTCCCTGGTGTACAATACATGCTTTTTTAACATTTTCAGATTATCTTCATTATTGTGTTTCCAAGTCTGTTTCCATGCTGTTTATTGTTCTTTTGCAAGTCTTCTGTGTTCAACAGGGTTTCTTTGGATTTGAACAGCTGTTCAGTGGAACTAGAGCTAGAGTGACAAATTAGAAACTCATGGGCAGAACTGATTCCATTTCTCATGCCAATTGAGAGATACAGTAGTAGCACCGCAAGTTACATTTCCCTTCCTATCACTGAGTGGAAATCATGATTACTAAAGGCTGATAAAGATTTTAGATTAAATCATTTACATTCTATACAGTAATGATGTGCCTATGAATGAATTAGTCACAGTATGCTGTCTTCTATAACCGCTTGAGTTAGAAGATTGAGAGATGAGATTCTTTTCTCTTGGAATACACTCACTGAAATACCACTCAGATGTTTTTGTGGTTTTGCATTCCATGCTTTGAGAATAAACAAGCTTTTCCTGTACCCTTTAAAGAGTAGATCAGGATGCAACTTGGAAGGGATGGATAGAAGGTAAGATATATTGTTTATACTACATGATATAAAATACATTTAAACGCTGCAGTCAAGACAGCAGTGAACAGACGTTTAGTCAAAAACCCTGTCTTCCTCAAAGTTGCACAATCTAAATGGGTAGGCCAGCGGAAAACAACCAGGGGAGGAGAATATATGTGTTAATTTTTACAAAGCAGGACCAGTGAGGGGGGAGAGAGGGATGGGATTGACTAGCCTGAGGTCACAAAGTCTTTGACAGAATCAGAAAAGGAAGCTAAATCTGCTTTTATTTCCAGAATGAAAACATCTTGATTGTGGTATAACATCTTCATTCTCCTTTGAGTTCTGGAAGCAGGTTCAAACTAGTCAAATGGCAACTCAGACCAGCCCTTGCCATTTCTGAAGTCAGCATCAGAGCATTAGGTGATACTACTACCTAAAGCCAGCAAAACTTACAAATAATGCCCTGGTCTTTTCCTGCTTTCTGATTTGGAGGAGGTGGGAGTGCCCCCTTTTCTCTGAGAAGCAGTGATCTGAAGGTCAAAGACATCTCTGTTTTTTCTTCTTTTGCCCCCGTCCTCAAAAAATTGCCTCACATGAGGGTAATCCAGTGCTTTGTGGCTAAACTAATGATACATCTGCTTTTCCTTGGTTAGAGTTCCCAAGGCAACCACACTGACATCTGGGAATGTAAGCTGGAAATCCTTTGAACAAGTAATTCGTCCAAGGTCCTGGGTAGCACCATACCAGTATTAGTCAACCACATCACAGACTGCGGAACAGGAGCAGCAGAATTAGTAATGAAAAGAAAAAGTAGATGTGATACATGTGGAGGTCATTTAGAGGCTTTACCTGCTGCAGTAAAGAGTAAAACACAAGCACACTGAACATCATTCCTTTGTGGATCTAGAAGTTTGTTTTTCTGGCTCATCCTGATTTGGACCTGTTGTCTTTTCCCTGCTTTAATGTCCC